AAGCCAGCTCCTACTGGTCCATACAAGCCAGCTCCTACTGGTCCATACAAGCCAGCTCCTACTGGTCCATACAAGCCAGCTCCTACTGGTCCATACAAGCCAGCTCCTACTGGTCCATACAAGCCAGCTCCTACTGGTCCATACAAGCCAGCTCCTATTGGTCCATACAAGCCAGCTCCTACTGGTCTATACAAGCCAGCTCCTACTGGTCCATACAAGCCAGCTCCTACTGGTCCATACAAGCCAGCTCCTACTGGTCCATACAAGCCAGCTCCTACTGGTCCATACAAGCCAGCTCCTACTGGTCCATACAAGCCAGCTCCTACTGGTCCATACAAGCCAGCTCCTACTGGTCCATACAAGCCACCTCCTACTGGTCCATACAAGCCACCTCCTACTGGTCCATACAAGCCAGCTCCTACTGGTCCATACAAGCCAGCTCCTATTGGTCCATACAAGCCAGCTCCTACTGGTCCATACAAGCCAGCTCCTATTGGTCCATACAAGCCAGCTCCTATTGGTCCATACAAGCCAGCTCCTACTGGTCCATACAAGCCAGCTCCTATTGGTCCATACAAGCCAGCTCCTACTGGTCCATACAAGCCAGCTCCTATTGGTCCATACAAGCCAGCTCCTACTGGTCCATACAAGCCAGCTCCTACTGGTCCATACAAGCCAGCTCCTACTGGTCCATACAAGCCAGCTCCTACTGGTCCATACAAGCCAGCTCCTATTGGTCCATACAAGCCAGCTCCTACTGGTCCATACAAGCCAGCTCCTACTGGTCCATACAAGCCAGCTCCTATTGGTCCATACAAGCCAGCTCCTACTGGTCCATACAAGCCAGCTCCTACTGGTCCATACAAGCCAGCTCCTTCTGGTCCATACAAGCCAGCTCCTACTGGTCCATACAAGCCAGCTCCTTCTGGTCCATACAAGCCAGCTCCTACTGGTCCATACAAGCCAGCTCCTACTGGTCCATACAAGCCAGCTCCTACTGGTCCATACAAGCCAGCTCCTACTGGTCCATACAAGCCAGCTCCTACTGATCCATACAAGCCAGCTCCTACTGGTCCATACAAGCCAGCTCCTACCGGTCCATACAAGCCAGTTCATACTGGTCCATACAAGCCAGCTCCTACTGGTCCATACAAGCCAGTTCATACTGGTCCATACAAGCCAGCTCCTACTGGTCCATACAAGCCAGTTCCTATTTATATCTAAGCAAACTTGCTTATATACAGTATATGTGTGTCTCATCTTCACTTGAAACAAGCCAGAGATCCTGTCCCATTTGTTACCTATTGCCAATCCAAGAATAGAAAGCTATCTCATTTTCCATTTCACAAACATCATGTCGAACAGACAATCATCTTTCATGTTCTCAAACACTTCATTTTGCAACCCCATAATTACTGTCGCTAGATCTGTATTTTAGGCTTACTCATACCTGTGTGATGGGGTTCTGGGAGTTCTTCTACTCCCCCAGCCCGGCCCGAGGCAAGGCTTGACTTGTGAGAGTTTGGTCCACCAGGCTGTTGCTTGGAGCGGCCCGCAGGCCCACATACCCACCACAGCCCGGTTGGTCCACCAGGCTGTTGCTTGGAGCGGCCCGCAGGCCCACATACCCACCACAGCCCGGCTGGTCCACCAGGCTGTTGCTTGGAGCGGCCCGCAGGCCCACATACCCACCACAGCCCGGTTGGTCCACCAGGCTGTTGCTTGGAGCGGCCCGCAGGCCCACATACCCACCACAGCCCGGTTGGTCCACCAGGTTGTTGCTTGGAGCGGCCCGCAGGCCCACATACCCACCACAGCCCGGCTGGTCCACCAGGTTGTTGCTTGGAGCGGCCCGCAGGCCCACATACCCACCACAGCCCGGTTGGTCCACCAGGTTGTTGCTTGGAGCGGCCCGCAGGCCCACATACCCACCACAGCCCGGCTGGTCCACCAGGCTGTTGCTTGGAGCGGCAGGCCCACATACCCACCACAGCCCGGCTGGTCCACCAGGCTGTTGCTTGGAGCGGCAGGCCCACATACCCACCACAGCCCGGCTGGTCCACCAGGCTGTTGCTTGGAGCGGCAGGCCCACATACCCACCACAGCCCGGCTGGTCCACCAGGCTGTTGCTTGGAGCGGCAGGCCCACATACCCACCACAGCCCGGCTGGTCCACCAGGCTGTTGCTTGGAGCGGCAGGCCCACATACCCACCACAGCCCGGCTGGTCCACCAGGCTGTTGCTTGGAGCGGCAGGCCCACATACCCACCACAGCCCGGCTGGTCCACCAGGCTGTTGCTTGGAGCGGCAGGCCCACATACCCACCACAGCCCGGCTGGTCCACCAGGCTGTTGCTTGGAGCGGCAGGCCCACATACCCACCACAGCCCGGCTGGTCCACCAGGCTGTTGCTTGGAGCGGCAGGCCCACATACCCACCACAGCCCGGCTGGTCCACCAGGCTGTTGCTTGGAGCGGCAGGCCCACATACCCACCACAGCCCGGCTGGTCCACCAGGCTGTTGCTTGGAGCGGCAGGCCCACATACCCACCACAGCCCGGCTGGTCCACCAGGCTGTTGCTTGGAGCGGCTGGCCCACATACCCACCACAGCCCGGCTGGTCCACCAGGCTGTTGCTTGGAGCGGCAGGCCCACATACCCACCACAGCCCGGCTGGTCCACCAGGCTGTTGCTTGGAGCGGCAGGCCCACATACCCACCACAGCCCGGCTGGTCCACCAGGCTGTTGCTTGGAGCGGCAGGCCCACATACCCACCACAGCCCGGCTGGTCCACCAGGCTGTTGCTTGGAGCGGCAGGCCCACATACCCACCACAGCCCGGCTGGTCCACCAGGCTGTTGCTTGGAGCGGCAGGCCCACATACCCACCACAGCCCGGCTGGTCCACCAGGCTGTTGCTTGGAGCGGCAGGCCCACATACCCACCACAGCCCGGCTGGTCCACCAGGCTGTTGCTTGGAGCGGCAGGCCCACATACCCACCACAGCCCGGCTGGTCCACCAGGCTGTTGCTTGGAGCGGCAGGCCCACATACCCACCACAGCCCGGCTGGTCCACCAGGCTGTTGCTTGGAGCGGCAGGCCCACATACCCACCACAGCCCGGCTGGTCCACCAGGCTGTTGCTTGGAGCGGCAGGCCCACATACCCACCACAGCCCGGCTGGTCCACCAGGCTGTTGCTTGGAGCGGCAGGCCCACATACCCACCACAGCCCGGCTGGTCCACCAGGCTGTTGCTTGGAGCGGCAGGCCCACATACCCACCACAGCCCGGCTGGTCCACCAGGCTGTTGCTTGGAGCGGCAGGCCCACATACCCACCACAGCCCGGCTGGTCCACCAGGCTGTTGCTTGGAGCGGCAGGCCCACATACCCACCACAGCCCGGCTGGTCCACCAGGCTGTTGCTTGGAGCGGCAGGCCCACATACCCACCACAGCCCGGCTGGTCCACCAGGCTGTTGCTTGGAGCGGCAGGCCCACATACCCACCACAGCCCGGCTGGTCCACCAGGCTGTTGCTTGGAGCGGCAGGCCCACATACCCACCACAGCCCGGCTGGTCCACCAGGCTGTTGCTTGGAGCGGCAGGCCCACATACCCACCACAGCCCGGCTGGTCCACCAGGCTGTTGCTTGGAGCGGCAGGCCCACATACCCACCACAGCCCGGCTGGTCCACCAGGCTGTTGCTTGGAGCGGCAGGCCCACATACCCACCACAGCCCGGCTGGTCCACCAGGCTGTTGCTTGGAGCGGCAGGCCCACATACCCACCACAGCCCGGCTGGTCCACCAGGCTGTTGCTTGGAGCGGCAGGCCCACATACCCACCACAGCCCGGCTGGTCCACCAGGCTGTTGCTTGGAGCGGCAGGCCCACATACCCACCACAGCCCGGCTGGTCCACCAGGCTGTTGCTTGGAGCGGCAGGCCCACATACCCACCACAGCCCGGCTGGTCCACCAGGCTGTTGCTTGGAGCGGCAGGCCCACATACCCACCACAGCCCGGCTGGTCCACCAGGCTGTTGCTTGGAGCGGCAGGCCCACATACCCACCACAGCCCGGCTGGTCCACCAGGCTGTTGCTTGGAGCGGCAGGCCCACATACCCACCACAGCCCGGCTGGTCCACCAGGCTGTTGCTTGGAGCGGCAGGCCCACATACCCACCACAGCCCGGCTGGTCCACCAGGCTGTTGCTTGGAGCGGCAGGCCCACATACCCACCACAGCCCGGCTGGTCCACCAGGCTGTTGCTTGGAGCGGCAGGCCCACATACCCACCACAGCCCGGCTGGTCCACCAGGCTGTTGCTTGGAGCGGCAGGCCCACATACCCACCACAGCCCGGCTGGTCCGGCACTCCTTGGAGGAAATGATTTAGTTTTCTCTTGATGATGTCCTCAGTTGTTCCAGCAATATTTCTTATGCTTGCTGGGAGGATGTTGAACAACTGTGGACCTCTGATGTTTATACATCAGAGGTTTGATATACTGTGCATCAAACATAATAAACATTATGTTTATACATCATATTTTTAATTTACTTCAATCTGCAACCCGTTAAGGACTCTTGCTAGAGCTGTATTTTAACCTAATTCATATTTACTTACTTGTAGCTAACACACATTTTGCTTCTTCCAATGCAATCCATTTGGAAATTTTTGTAAGCTAATCTTAAATAAAATATTTATGTTTCAGATCCATAAATACCTCTTATAACCTGTTTGTTTTATATTGCTCAGGCCTCACTATCAATGACCATGACGCACTATAACATTTACATGATGCCACAAGCCTGCACAGACTTCAGAAAGGTTTAGGTTATCTTCTGTTAATTCTGAGGAGAAAGGGACAAGCCACTCACAAACCATAATTTTGGGTAATCTCTATGTAGGCTACAATCACAATTCTAAATCAGACAGCCAAAAGTTGCAAAGCAAGAGTATGCCACCAACAAAATAATTGTTGTATAAATTCTACCTTGTGTCTATTAACTTACCGATGGCAAACTCGTCAGCGAAGGTAAGAAAATGAAGAACATTATTTTTGACATGGTAATCCTTTAAGTGGTTCATCATGTGGGTACCGTAGCCCTTTACTTGT